CAAGCTGGGCCAGAGACAGAGGAGGGGGCATGGCTGAGGGCCTCTAGCCCTGCTTCCGGCTCCTGGCTCCAGGAGTTAGAGACTAGCCCTGGTGTGGGCTTCCCTCATCCCCTTCTTCCTCCCAGCTGGAGCAGAGACAGAGGAGGGGGCATGGCTAGGGGACTCCAAACAGACTCCTGGCACTGGAGGGCAGAGCCAAGCCTCAGTATGGGTTTCCCTTAGCCCCCTGTCTCAGCTGTCCTGGAGACAGAGTAGGGGGTGTGGCTGCGGGACTCCAGACCCACTCTTGGCTCATCAATTTCAGCAAGGCAAGATTATCTCTGAGTCAGCCATCCTAGACATGTATTTTCTAAGTTGCTCTTCTGATGATATAAATTTCATAACTTCTGTAGTCTGTTCCAGTGCATACTCATCGTTATATTAAGAAAGTTCTTTCTAATTTCTAACCTACATATCCCTTGCTTCAGTTTGAGACCTGTTGTTATTTGCCCCATCTCCTTTGGGGTCACAGGGAATAGACTATCTTAGTAGTCTATTGTGCTTTATAGGCACTCTTCAGATATTTGAAGATGCTATCAACACCCTGCCTTTCTTTTATGGGACCAGCTGCTTGGTTGGGATAGACCTAGGCAAGCTTTTGAATACAATGCATTCTCTTGCAGGTCTTTCATGTAAGACTGAAGAATGCATTGCATTCAGAAGGCTAAATTTATCCCAGTCATGCAGTTAATCCAATACAAGAGATCACCTACAAAAATCCTTGCCTCCCACATTTTCCTGGACCATCACAGCTATTCTCTGAATATTTATATTTTACAGATGAAGAAGTAACTTCAACAAAAACAAAGGTTGACCTATTGCTACCAATCACAAGTACTTGTACTAAGCCTAGTTGGGCAAGTCTAAAAAGAAGACTTAAACTTTGCAAGAAAAGATCCTTGTCTGCTGTGGTCTAGCTTCTAATCAAAGATTGGTTTCGTTGGAGTAGTTTCTTTGCTGCTGCCAACAAATCTATTCCCTCTCTTTTTGGAAATCACTTGTATTTATTTTAGGAAATCTAGAACAGTATCTTTACTCCCAGTACCCATCTGTTTGTAATAGAGAGAGGTTATCTGTTCAGTTCCAGAATATTCTTATTCTCAACTTTCTTTGCTGTCTCTTTAAGGGTCTTTTCCTGTTCCAAAAAACTCTTACACGAGAGAGAATATTTTAGGAAAATGGTTTTACTTTTGTTACTTCCTGGCTCCTAAAAAATCAGCATTAGACCTGACAGATCTACATTTTTTGTACTTCAGACTAAGTTTGAAATGGCATCTCTTTCCTCTCTCTATAGTTTTTCATCAAGAAGACATGCACTTCCACTTCTGAAACAGTGTGGCACAGGTCTGCAATTTTTTAGTGGGCAGTGCACATTACTGGTTCAGAATGCTGCCATTCATTCTGTTCTCAGCGCCCAGGATTATGCAACGTTTGATTGTAGGTAAATCAATAAGAAAACATCTTTATAAGTACATTTCTTGATGACTGGTTGGTGCAAAACTTTCCTCCTCAGGAAGTCAGAATAACATTCAGTACATTCTACATCTCTTAACCATGCAAAGGCTGAAAATAAACAGAGACAAGTCTTAATTCCTACCAAGAATTATTAGAGCCTTAATGGACTTCAGTGCAATAAAAATGTGTCTACCAGACATTAGATTTGATTATATGAGATATCCGTCTTCAGGTTGGGCCACAGTAAGTACACGCCTTTGGTTATTAGTCAGATGGCTTTGTGCACATGGATTTTGTACATCAGACTGCATCTGTTTTCCTTGCAGATTTAGTCAAACAAATATTTTGTAATTAAACTGAGCCAGAGCATAGATACCTGAAGAATGCACATTCCACAAAAGGCATTTAAATCCTCTGGAAATACCTACTGAAATTATGCAAAGGTGTGCTCTTTGCTTAGGTACTTCCTACTATGTCCTACAGTTCAGTGGGGAAGTGAGGAATCTATCTCAAGAAATTTGCTGTGCAAGGCTGGTGATCACAATGAGAAGGGTGTCTCCGTATCAGGAAAGAGGAGTTTAGGGCCAGACATCTTCCTTGTAAGGACCTCCTATCCTACAACTAAATCAAACTGTCCACATAATGAGGGAAACCACAACTCCAGTGTTTTATGTGAATAAGCAGTGGAGCACAGGTCTATCCCATTATTTAGGAAAAACATTTACCTGTGGAATTTTTATGTTTGACACAGCATGAACACACAATGATTCACTTTTCACACCTTCAAAATATACTGGTGGATCATCACAGCTGACCTATATCTTTAGACCAAGTCTGTCCAACTTCCAAGCATCCAGGGGTTGCATACTTTATGGGCTTCATCTCCAGGGGCGCACACCCTGTAGCCCATACCAGGGTGAGCCATGGCTCTCCCAGGCTGCTTGCCCCACAGTCATTCCTTCTTCTCACTGCTACAGAGTGCATCTGAATCCCCTCCCACTGCTGCATCATGGAATCATTTGATCACCCCTCGCTGCACTCCCTTCCCCTTGCTCTCTTTCCCTGCTGTGCTGTGCACCTGTGCAGACACTGCCCTGTGAGCCTGCAGCCCTCCGCACTTTACTCCTTACTGCACTGAGTACCCCAAGCTCACCCTCAGTTCCCTGTGCTTTCCTGGCTGCTGTGTCAGTGGCAGGAAGCTGTAGTCAGCAGAGGGAAGGGGAGCCTGGAAACTCTGGCTGCTGTTGCAGCTATAGCAATGGGGGGCAGCAGCAGCTGGGCAGGAGCCTTGGGCAATTTAACCCTTTGTGGACTGCATGAGGCCCATAGACTGCCAGTTGGACAGCCCTGCTTTAGACTATGAATGGACCGTGGAGGCTGTATCGTCACGTGTATGTTTTCAGTCTGTGTGATGTTCCTCTGTTTGCAAGTGAGCACTATAGGAAATGTAATGATTTCTCTCCATAGAGGGATAAGTCAGGGTCTGTGGGAGATGCCTTTCTGTTCCCTCAGACTCCGCTTTATTTTATGGCAAGTCTCCAGTTCCTTTGACTCTTGTTAGAATTAAGGAAGTGCAAGCAAGACGGTGCTTAGGTCATTCTGTTCTCTACAGCAGGGGTTGTCAACCAGGGGTACATGTACCCCTAGGGGTACTTGGAAAGGTCCTGGGGGTACACGTGGGCGTGCGGGGACAGAGCACTATGCACCTCCGCCTCCCAGGAGTAGGGCTAGTGGGACAAGGGCAGCTGCAGCAATCTGGCTGGCTGGTGGGGAGGAATGCATGGGGCCAGGAATGCAGCTGGGTGGCTTGGTGAGCAGCATCTACTTGATAAGTCTGTGGGGGTAAGGGGTGGGGGGCAGATCGAGGCCCACACAGTGAGGGAAGGAGGGAGTGGGGCTGGGGCAGGCACTGCCCAGCCAGGTTGGGATGGGATGCGGGACAGAGCCACAGATGACTTGTCAGCGGGGAGGGGGTTGCAGAGTGAGGGGGAAGGCTCCTGCCACTGTGTGCACCTGTGCAGGAGGCATAGGGGGCAT